GAAAATGTCCCTACGCCGACCTGACCGACGGAATTCAACAAGAAAGTAAAAAAAGTGAAATAAATAAAATAAAAAGTGACGAGAAAGCCATAGAGATAAGTATTAATCAACAACTGTCCCAAATGACGATTTTTTTCTTCAGATCATTGAGTGTTGTCAATATGTATCAAATTATAACGAAACTTATTGCAAAAGGAACACAGAAATAACTCTACAGTTAAGGTGGTTGCTGTATATTATAGTAGTCGTTTTCTTTGAAAGTAAAATTTATGCTTGGATAAGATTTGCCTGTTTATAAGTTTGTTTTATTGTCAAATAAACATGACAGTTTTCTTTCTACTACTGGTACGTGTTTGTTTCTCATATTTGGTAGTGGTACATAGCGAGAAGCTGCTTTTCTTCTTCCCTACTCTCCTTCTGTTGTTTATACATGCACGTCTTCTTTTTCCAATAAAAAAATAAAATGGTGAAATGGGGAAATGGTATGAATAACGCCCGCATCAACGCTTTTAGATTATTTAAAAGGCGAGACCTCCGTGTTTAACGTCCAAAAGGATCGAACAAAAATGGGAAGTTCGTTGTCCAGTATCCTTGAACAGACTCCCGCTCAGCAGCAAGCTCTATGCGCTTTTTAATTTATATTATTACCAAAGCAGACCCGATAGCATTCTGAAACAATCTGAACTTTTTGGGAAGAAAGCAATGCAAGCTGCCATTTTTATTGGCACTAAAGCACTAACTTATTGTGACAAGATCTTTCGCTGTCTATCGTCGGGAACTCATTCTCACCTGGGTGAAGTGAGGAAAATTCGTGTAAAATGCATTGCCCAAGGTACAACGTCGGGCCTTAAGCTCGAACCCCAGAACCTGCAACCCCACGATTACGAGTCCGGTAGCCTAACCACTAGACTACTGACGCCACTGGCTGTTATCATGTTTATGTACTTCTCAAAACGAACTCTCCCGTCTAAAAGTAAGGTATTCGCCTTTTATTCAAAAGGTCCCAGGTTTGAAACCTAACACATCGATGACAACATTTAATTCTATATTACAATGTTGTCCTTTACCCCCTTACCTGTTCTCTAGGGCTGTTCTGTCATCTGCTTTCATCACCACTCTCTTCCCCAGCCCCTGACCTTTTCTGGGCTCCTCTCTCCTTTACTGTTAAATCTATCTACTTAACTGGTACTCCTGGCTCCCCCTTCTCAACTCTTTAACAACGAAGAGGACACATATATCCAACCAGGATCATGCCAAAGGCGATGTTTCGGCACAATTGAACCATCAGACACAAATCAGAAGCATGAATTTGTATATAGTTCAGAGTATACAGCTGTACTTTGCCTTTGTAAAGTTTAAGATAGGGACAACAGAACAGAATATCTGTATGAATAACGTATCCATGCTCCTTTTAAGTGCCTCTAAACAGCACGTCTGTAAGTATTATCACAGGACCAGAAAGCAAGTACCCAAAGAGTTAATGTTGTCATTCAGCCACACGAACCCTGATCTTAGTGTAGTTAAGACCGAACACTTAGCCTCCTAGGATAACAGAGAAAAATATTGGAAGTCCCGTGTGTAAGTTGCCCAATACTTAATAATTATCTCTCCACTGGGGAATCAAACTCATATCTTCTGACAAAATCACATCATACTGACAAAATCTTTGGCTGTCTATGGTCTGCTACCCATTCTCATCTGAGTGAAGCGAGGAAAAGTCGTGTAAAGTGCGTTTCCGAAGGACACAACGTCGGGCCTGAGGCTCGAACCACTGAACCAGCAACCCCACGATTACGAGTCCGAAAGCCTAACCATTTGATTATTGACTCCACCAAATGGCTGTTATCATGTTAAGCACTTCTCAAAAGGAATTCTCCTGTCAAGAAGTACGATATCCAAAAGGTCCCAGATTTAAAACCAGAATGCGATTACAAAATTTTCTTCTATCTCGTATAATGTTCTCCTTTCCCATCCTTTCCTGTTCTCTCATTTGCTTTCATCACCACTTTCTTCCCCAACCCCTGGCCTTCTCTTCGCTCCCCTCTCCTT